GGAGTTATTGTTTGGGATATGGAGTTTCTATTTTACAAGAGGAAAAGAGTTCTGGAGATGGATGGTGGTAATGATTGCACAACAATGTGAATGTACTTAATGCCACTGAACTGTGTACTTAAAAAAATGGTTAATGTTATGTTATGTGTACTTTACTGCAATAACAAAATAAAACAAGCAGGAAAAACCGCAGGCTTAACAGTGCAGTGGCCTCGCCTTGAGATTAAAATGGCCGAATAGGGCTTCTCCTACCATCTGTTGATGACAGGTAGCTTCCCACACCCATTGTGGTTGGTGGCAGGCTTTGATGGTGACTCACAGCTTTGTTCTTGGCCATGGAAGTTCATAAAGAAGGCTTTTCCTACCACTCTATTTAAAACATGCTCATCCCAGGGCACTGGGCATGTCCTATTCCTGTTCCCTGTTTTATTTCTCCCTCTAGTACTTCTCACCATCCAGCACACTAGGTTTTGCTTGCTATTTATTACTTTTGTATCAATCAGAAGAGAAAGAAAAACCAACATGCGAAGGCAAAGGGAACAGCATGTGTGAACGTTTGGGGGTATGAACGTTCTTGGGGTTCAGGAAATGACCCGATGTGCCATGATGGTATGGCCATATGGTCAGATTTATTACAAAAAAAGAATTGCAGAGTGGTTTACTTGTTTATTTGCTTATTTTTTTCCTCTCATTTGTCACCACTAAAATGTAAGTGCCAAAGGGCAGAAATTTTTGTAGGGTTTGTTCATTTTTTGTGACAGTGGCAGCCCTTTTGCCCATAGCCCTTCTTTCCTTCTAACTTTTAGTAACAGAAGCCCCACCACCACTTAGCATTGGCTGGGTGTGTGGTTGCCAGCTAGAGAGCACATCTCCCAGCCTCTCTTGCAGCTACATGAGGCTATGCATCTAAGCAATTGCCAATAAGCTATTCTTTAACTTCCGGGTCTTGCCTTACAATGATTGTCTCCTTCTTGCAGGCTACACAGATGTGGCAAGGATGAACCATATAAGGAAAAAAACTTTGAGAATGGCGAAGCCACAAGACAGAAGGAGCCTGAGTCCTCTGATGCCATACAGAACAGAGTCACTCACCAGGCCTGACTGCCTGCTGACCTCTACATGGCAAACGAGACATAAAGGTCTATCATATTTTGGAGTCCCTTTGTTTTGGCCTCTGTTATGAACTGCATTGTCTTCCCCAAATTCATGTTGGAAGCGTAACGTCTAATGTGACTGTATTTGGAGATAGGGCTTATAAGGGGGGTAATCAAGGTTAAATGAGGTCATAAGGGTGGGGCCTAATGCAGTCAGACTGGGGTCCTTATATGAAGAGGAAAAGACACCAGAGATCTCTTGCTCTTTATCTCAGTGCTCACACTGAGGAAAGGCCATGTGGGAACACAGCAAGAAGAGGGTTGTCTACAAGCCAGGAAGAGAGACCTCACCAGAAACCAACCCTAGCAGCACCTTGAAGTTCACTTCAAGCCTCTAGAACTGTGAGAAAATAAATTTCTGTAGTTTAAGCCACCCAGTCTGTGGAAGTTTGACATGGTAGCCCTAGAAGACTAGTACAGCCTCTTAGCCTGTACCCTAACACACTGCTGCACATCAAGTGCCTAGAGTAGTGTCTGGAAATTAGTAGAGATGCAGTAAACATTACTTGGATAAATAAGTGAATGACTAGAACACAAAGACAATATTTAATTTGTACAGTGCTGTAAAAATTAAAGGATTAATGGATTCTAACAGATTATATCTGTGCATTCATCCATCCACCCAGTCATCTTTCTATCACCTTGTTTGTATTTGCAAGCAAAATGAAACTTCATCTTTGAACTCTTACCAGTGCCTTCTCTCCCAGTCTACCCTGAATCTAGCCATGGTCAGTGCCTATTATTTTTACCATCAATATCACTATAATTTTCTACCATTACAATGGTCAGAGCTCTGGCTTAGATTCTATTTTCTCTGGCTTACTTTATGATAATTGCTTCCAAACCATTCCCTTTCCAGTCTCTGCACTTGAACCTGTTGCAGAGACTCTAGTTGCCACTTTCAAATCCATTTGCCTTCTCTCCTAGGAACAGATCCCTCATTTTATTCAGTGCGACAATGTACTCTGTGAAATAATCCTATTTCCCCCATGCTCCTGCAGCCTAGGTGCAGCCATACGAGAAAGGTCTGGCTGAGGAGATGTAAATGAAATTTGTTGGGTGAGGTTTCTGGACAACCTGCTAAAAAGGATAGAGAGTTGGGACCAGGTCACTTGCTACACTTCCCTCCCATTTCTTTTTTCTTGTTGCCTGGAATTTGGGAGTGATTGCTGGAGCTCTAGCAACCATATTGCAATATGGAAAATTGGGAAACGTAGATAAAAAGAGAAACTCTGTCCTTGGTAACTTTGTGGAGCTCTGGACTGCCTATCTCCAGGTTTATTTTACATCACAGAGAAATATACTTTTTAATGTGTGACCCATTGCAGTCAGGTCTCTATAATTAGCAGTTGAACACAATTCCTGATACAGATCCCATGCCTTCACTGCTGTCTGCATAAAGTTGATAATGCACATTTTGAGGGCAACTATTTTGCCACCACGGGTGCAGGGCCTAAAATGTCTTCAGAAAACACTTGGTCCTGCAGGGTAAATGAGAGGGCTATCAAGAGTCTCATTTTATAGGTGAAGAAACCAAGGCTGAGGATCATACAGTTAGCAGACGTCAAAGAAGGGATGAGGACCAAGGATGACATTGAAGAATGAGAAGGGCTGGGACTGTGGTGTAAGCAATGGGATTCGGAGATTTTACACATGCACATATGAGCTTGCATGCACACACACATAATCTAGAGCAGATATCTGCTGATTTTGCCTGTCTTCATATCATCTACCCCTTTCTGATAATAAAACCCTTCTCTTTTGGGAACTGTTCCAACTCAAGCTGTTAATGACTTGACACATGACTCCAATGGGCACTTGATCCCACCCCCTGGACAATGTGAGGGGTCCAGAGTGGCTTTATAACACAATCAGAGCTCTTTGGAGACTGCCATTTATTCACTGTCTGTGAACTCAGGCCTATTGACATCTTGAAGGCTCTGGCTCCTTAGAACCATAGAAAGACGTAAGTCTGTTACCTGCTCTCCTTGGCAGTTGTGAGGATGAGCCAAAACAATTCAATAAAGGGCCTCGTAAAGGGTGGACGTCCACTTGCTATTACACTTCTTTGGAAAGCTCATTTCTCTGAGCACCAACTGTCTATAGAGTAGAAAACTACTGTCATAAAAAGTTAACAATTAAGCCCCCAAATCCCACTTAAATCTCCCATTTTGTTTGCTCATTTGGTTTCCATTACACAGATAATAGGTTTATATCTCTGATTTTCAGAAGAAATGCTTCAACTGATTTGCGTGATTAAAAATACAGACCTCAGGGACACTCCTCATCCCCTATCTGTCTCTGGAATAGCAACTGTAATTGATGGGATTAAGAAAATCTGCATTTTCCCCCTTAGTCTGGCAATCTTAAAAACTAGAGACATTTTCATTCCAACTTGAATCAAGAATCCAGACACCATGAGAAACACAAATGTTTGGGTGTGATCATGGTATTTATTCATAGTATATTTTCACAATGTGTTAATAATGGAGAATAACACGTATTCATACACTGAGTATAACTTTTCCTGGAGCAGTCTGGAGTTTGGGGGACAGGGGTGGGTTGGAAAATACTGCCAGATTTTTCTTAATCTCTTTGGTTTTTGGAAGTAGGCAGGGTTACTCAAACCGAGGGTCTGCCATGGGGTATTGGCGATCACGTCCCCCCAGATCGGGCTGGAAGAGTAGAAAGATGATGGCTTCGGCACTTTCATTGTGGAAAGAAGCAAGAGAGTGGATTATGGGAAGATCAGAAAGACTCAGATGTCTTGAACTCCATAGTTCATTGCTTGTCACAAATGCCAATTACTGCAGCAGCCACAAACACCAGCAGGGTCTCAGGCTCATGGCCTGAAGACAAGTCATGTCACTAGCCAATGTTTTCATGCAAAAGGCAATTCGGATGACTAAAATCCTGGTTCTAACCTCCTCCAGGTGTTCTGGGGTGCTGAAGGTCACCCCCATCCTATGCATCCTTTCTCTTGCAGCTGGTAAACTTGGACGGCATTTCAGAATATCTTGGCAAAATACTGAGAGGACCTCACTTTCTCAATGTCATTCTGTAATGAAGCTGCTTGAGGGACCCTCCATTTAACCAGAAGGACCAAGGCACCATGAAGTAAAGCAAAGCATATTAATAACTAACAACAAGAAGAACAGAGTCCAAGTCTCTCCCAAAAACTGCATGTCCAAAAATAAGGGTAAACAGCTGGTCCAAGTGATTCTGTCCATTGGAAAATGTCCTTCCATTGTTCCCTTTTATTAAATGTGCTTACATTTCTGAGTCTGAAGATCACTTAAATACATATAATATTAGCACCAAGGCATCAATTTTTTTTCCCAGAGATCACATGAAACTAAATAGATACTTATCATACTTAATAGCTGGTACAATCTGTGACATCACAAAATTCTTTATTGGCTAATGATGCTTTCCTAGAAATGCCAAAAATATACCCTTGTAGCACCTTGATGGCGGTTAGATTGTTTTAAAACACAAATTACAATTTAAAAAAAGTAATAATAAAAATATACAGATAGAAAGTAAACAATAGGGTACCGTGATAATGAAGGATCACTTTTGTCAAAGACTACATATAATGTAGAGTACGTAAAATGCAGTGGTCTGACTGCAAGGGACAAAATAATGCAAAAGGCAGTCATAATAGAATCATTTTACGTACAAAAATATTACATCACAATAAATAATTTCAAACATAAATATTAAACTTTACATCATTAGGATATTCCACATATATACACACACATATACAGATACATGTGTGTGTATATATGTATATATATGCATATGTACACACACACAAGCGTACAAGTTCACACACACATACACACACACACGCACACACACACACACACACACACACACATACACACTCACACAGATTTAAGGTGGAGGTATTGCATTACTATCCTTCATCCATTCCATCATGGCTTCCTCTTCAGAGCACCTGAAAAAAACCAACCAACCAAGAAATGTAAATCTTCTGTCTCAGACGCCATAAGTCAAGAGTAGGTAATCCTTACATTTTTACATACAGAATTTAAAAACAGCACTTACTATTTTCTTTAGATTTTAAAAGTATGTTTGCTATAAGAAATATGTACATTTCAGGGAGTATAAAGAATAATAAAACACTAGCCTGAAATCTCCCATCTGAGATAATAGACTTCAAATATTGGTATATTTCCTTCTAGTCTTTTCTCTATACACACATGTAAATAGTATGTATAAAAACTACTCAAATTTTAATATGAACAAAAAATTATGTTAATATATATATAAAATATATAAACTACATATATAATAGGGCTCTCTCGTGGGTAGCTGCTGACTTTGCCTGCCTTTATCCCATCTCCCTGTTTCTGATAGCAAACCCCATCTTGTTCTTTGGGAACCACCTCTATTCCAAATGAAGCTTTTAATCCCATGACTGTCGTTGAATCCATGATCTCCGGTTCCTGGACACTGTGATTAGTTCAAAAGTGGCCATGTGGCCCAATCAGAGCCAGAGTTCTTGTGCAGAATGGAATCCGGAAGGTGAGCATTTACTTGGGACCATGAGCTCTAAGGATGAGGTAAGCCAGAGCGGCCAGGGGCTATGGTGTGGGGGAGGTGATCTGCCTGAGGAGGGAGCCATTTAAGAGACAAGCATTGCTGATCCATGGAAACAGGAAGAGTCCTGATGACTCTGTGTGAGCCTCTGGACCCAGCCATGCCTAAAGCTAGCCCACTGCTTGGACGTCTCAGTTACTTACAACAATAAATTTCCTTTCTTTCTGTTGCCTCTTGCAATGGAAATAATCCTAATTTAAGATCATAAATTTGAACATAGCTGTTTAATTAAACATTGAAATACTGATTCATAACTGTCAAATAGGCATCCTGTCAGGATCTTGAAGAGCTTTACAGGGTAATGGGCTGTGGGAAAGTTGTGAAGAAAGTTGTAGTGGGGGGGGTCACAGGAGTTGGCTGGGTTCAACTCTCGTAGGAAGGCACTGGGGCGAGAAAGAGTGACGGATTTAGTCCTCTGCTCGGCAGAGGAAGCACTTGCTGGCATACTGCAGTTAGGCCAGGGGTTGTCAAACATGTATGTCTCTCCTGTGGATTTGTTGAAATATAGATCCTGATTTCATAGGTCTGGGGTGGGGCCTGAGAGTCTGCATTTTCAGCAAGTTCTCAGGTGATGCTGATTGTGCTGGTTCTTAGCTCACACTGTGAGTTTGAAGTGTGTACAACAGTGCAGGAAGTGAGCAGTGGCTTTAGTGTAAGCCATTCCAGGGTTCTGCCAAGGGAATTCAGCACCCATAGGCAAGCTACTTAACTGTTGGGAGCCTCAGCTTCCATCTGTAAAATGAGGATAACAGCCCCATCTTGTGGCTTTCTTGTGAGGATTCAATGAAATAATGCCTTCAGAGTGTTCAGCATGGGGCCTGACATATAGTCAGGACTCAGTGAATGCCCTTAATAGTATTGTTATGATACTCCTAGCCGGTATTTCACAGAGGTTGATCTGTAAGTCACCTGCATCAGAATTCTTTGTAATGGAGATTCCTGGATCTACCAGAGACCTAATGAAACAGGACCTCTAGAGATCCATCCCTGTAAGCAGCATTTTAAATCAGCACTGCAGAGGAATCTGAGCAGGAAGCCTAGACACCTCCAGGGTGGAGGACAGATGGCCTCTGTCATGTGATGCCAGATGAGCATACAGGAAAATAGTACTGAGTCAGACTCAAGATGCTTAACAGTCAGCTGTCTGGGGAGCAAAGAACCTGACCACATTTGCTAATCATCAGGCTACAGAAAGGAGATAGGCAGATAGGCAGATAGGATAGGTAGGTAGGTAGGTAGATAGATAGATAGATAGAAATAGATAGGTAGAAAAACATAGGATTTACTTACCTTAACTATAAAACTCGAACCTCCAGGCCAGTGCCAGAGGATGGTGTACATTTTCCACAGTAACCACCGCATTTCCCTATGACACGGGTGCCATCCTGCAAGGAGATGCATGATCTTAGACTACCTGTTTGGCTAATGTTTTTAAGAAACCATTCTTGCACACACAGGAGGCAGGCCTTTTGAACAGAAGCAGAGCCCAATGTCTTCACCATGGTGTAAAGCAGAGGTTGATGAACTATGGTCGGTGGGCTCAGTCAAGCGTGTCACCTCTTTTTGTATGGCCCACATGTCAAGAATAGTGTTTACATTTTTAAATGGCTGAGAAGAAGTAAACCAAAAATAATATTTCTTGACGTGAAAATTTTACGAAATGCAAATTTCAGTGTCCATCGATAAAGTTTTATTAGAACACAGCCATGTTCATTTATTTACCTAATTAATGTCTATGGCTGCTTTCATGCTACAATATCGGGACTAAGTAGTTGTGACAGCTCTCATTGATTCACACTGCTACTCAGCACACTCCAAATCTCAGTGATACTGTTTTGACAGTGTTTCGAGTACCATGCATATTGCTGTCATAACATTTTGCTTTTTACCGGCATATACCATCATGCTGAAACCAGAAAAGTGGACTTTGAAAATTGCACTTTTAAGGTACAGTGGCATGTAGGTTATTCTATTATCAAGTTTAGATGGCAAAGCATTGTGTTTTTCATGGGATGACACTATAGCTCTGGTAGAAAAAAATACAATATACACCAACATTACCAAACTCAGCATTCATCACAATTTTAGGAAAGCAATGATCAGAAATTTAGAAAATTGAAGAAGGAATACATCACCATAATTTCTCACAAAAATAAAAATGAATAAAAAGAAAAAAAGAAAATGAGTAAGTTCCAAGTGGATCATTTATTAATCAAGCAAGGAAAACAGTTTACCCAAGGAGAGTTAAAATCTTGCTTAATTGTAACAGCTGAAGAAATGTGTCCAAAGAAAATAAGCTCAAGACTATTATCCTTTCGGCAAGAACAGTTGCTTGAGAAGTTAATGATATTGGGAGCAACATCAATAATCAATTAAAAAACTAGGCAACTAATTGTGAATGGCTTTCTCTGGCTCTTCATAAACTGACAGATATTACTGATACTGATGTTGTCACTTATTTGAGGAGACAATGCTGAGTCTGAAGTGACTAAAGAATTAGCTTCTCTGAAGAGTCTGTGTGCAACAAGTTCAGGCAAGAAAATTTTAAAGAGGTTGAGAAAACACAAGTGCAGAGCAACTGAAGTGGAATCTGTTAAGACAACTGATAGTGGTAAAAAATCTGTGGGAGCAGAAAAAAGCTTTAGTTGGTCAAATTTACAAAGCTTGTGAAAACGTCAGATGTTTAAAGCCTATGATTATTCACTACATTTATTCATCAGTAGGTGCTTTGTGGAAAATATTCATATCTATCAGGTTTTACAGAGCCTGGAGTGTTGTTAATGGTGAACTTCTTTTGGTATCATGAACTTAACCATCATTAGTTTTGTAAATTTTTGTCAGAAGTAGGAGATGAATACCCTGACTTGTCCTACCATACAGCAGTTTGATGACTTAGCAGAGGTAAAGTTTTATTGTGAGTTTTTGGGCTCAGGGTTGGGATTAACATTTTTCTGAACAAGAAGAATTGCTTTCAATCAGTGTAATTGAATACTCAATGGCTTTGGACATTAGCTTTTGCTACAGATTTGATATTTCTTAAGGAATTGAACCTAAAATCACAAGGCTAAACTGCCACTTACAGACAAAACTTATACTGTGGTAAAGTTATTTCAGTAACAACTAACATTGTTTGAATCATAAATAATATTAAGCCATTTTATGAACTTCCCATTCTGTTAAAAGTTAAAACAAGAAGGTACATCTCCATTCCACATAAATTTATGGTGGAGATGTTTTCCAACTTGAACTGCAGTTCCAGCAGCCTTTTTTTGTACTTTGATGTAAGTGCAAAGGAAATGTTCATACAGCAAAATCCATTTAATGAAGCAATTGAAGAGCTTCCATCTCACCTTCAATTGCAAGTGATTAATCGGCAGTGCAGTGACATGTTAAAAAGTAAATATCAAGAGAAAAAAATCTAATAGAATTTAAAAAATGCTTGCCAAGGCATGAATATGCTCAATTAAAATTATATGACTGTGGACTATATCAGTGTTTGGCAACACCTATTTGTGTAAAAAAACATTTATAAAGATGAAATACAGAAAATCTCATCTCCAATCAGCATTTACAGATAAATATTTATTATCAATTTAGATAACAGAGAACACTAATTAAGCAAAACGTTACCATCTTCCAATATTGTATTCTTCTCATTGGTAGATCTGTATTACAAAAAAAACTTACACTCATTATTATTTTAAATTTAATCAATGACAATTTTGTGCAAATTCATTTTCACTCTTGTCATATAAATACATAAATAATAGCATTGATTTTTGCGTGTTGGCCAGCAAAATATCTACTATCTGGTCCTTTACAGAAAACGTTTTCCAATCCCTGATCTAAAGTCTTGTGTGACGCATCCCTGTCAGCCTCTCCAGATACCATCCTGTCGCTCTACACCCCTACCCTTGAACGTCTTGGGTTGTTTTCTGATATGTCCCTTACAACGCAGAGCCTTTGCACATACCATTCTTCTACCTGGCGCTCTCTTCCTCTCCTCTCCTTCTCCATGTGCACTGGACAACCCTAACTTTTAACTGGTAAATTTTTCAGAACCCAGCCCAGAGGCCACTTCCTGTGAGATATATTCCTGACCCAGTTACCTGCTACACAGCACACTGTCAAGTTAGGTAATTCTTTCTTTACATCTGTCTTTCTGCTAGAACATAAGCCCCTTGTTGGCAACAACAATGTTGTCTTGTTAAAATCCAAGAGTCTCCAGAACTTAGCACAGTGCATGGCTCAGGGTGATACTAAATACACATTTGTTAAATGAATGAATGAATCAATGAAAGAGGTTGAAGCTGAAGTACACTTTTTTTTTAACCTGCAATTCAGGCTGCTCTGCCGATTAGTTTCCCTAACACTTCACCATGCTGTGAAGAACTCCTTGTTGAATTGTGGCATAATATCCCATTGTGTAAATTTACCATGTCATGTTAGGCACCCTCCCTTCCATTCCTGCACAATGTTTGGCATTTTAGATGTTTCACATATTCCACTACTGGGAACAACACTGTGATGGATCGTATCTATGCCTGTATTTCAGGATATCTTTGGGCTATATTCCCACAACTGAGTCAAAGGGCATGAACAATTGGTTCCTGATGACCAAACTGTGAAAGTCTCTTGCAAATAATGTAATCTTTTTTTTTGGGGGGGGGGGAAGAACAAGAAAAACTTTGCCAAATTAACAAATAAAGAGAACAAAATAGTTTTTTGTTTTTTTTAAATTTGCATGCCTTTGATTATGAGTATGACTGAGTTGGGAGGCTGATTTCTATCATCACTCTACTCGTTCCTGGTTTTAGGGGCCCACGTCAGTTCTGCAGCTAGTCTGACACCACCAACTGGCTTTGGTGCCAGACCAACCCCTCCCCAGGAACCTCCTCCCCAGGCTGAAGTATTGGTCTGGTGGCCTTAAAGATACTGGTATGTTACAAATGTCTTCTGTCTCATTGAAGCTTATGCTTTACCCAAACTGTCTCCTGACGCAGCAGTGAGATAACCTGAATCAGGCTGCCTGGGGCTTGTACTGCATCTTTAAATAAACTTTTTAAGCCTCAGTTTTCTGGTGCAACTGTAAAATGGGGATAATATTAGTTTCCCTTCATAGGTTTGCTGTAAATGAAAGAATGCATGCAAAGTGCTTCGCCTAGTACTTGGCCTAATATTCATGCTCAATAAATATTAGTTGTTACTATCATAAACGCATTTTTGTATGTGGGTCTCCATTATTGCCTGTTCTCATGGAGATGAAGAAAAGTCTGTGTAATTATAAAATCACTGATAATGACTTTGCAATGTTCATGTTATTTCATTAATAGGGACTCTGTTAATTTGATTTAGATAAAGGCTGAGCTAAAACTTATCATTTTTACTACAGGATAAAAAAAACATACTGAAGAAATGCATAGTGTAAACATGATTGTCATTGAAATAGCCTATTTCAGAGAAAAAGGTGTGTTTTCCAGCATTTGAGAAGCTCCCACTCACCTACAATGAAACACTAATTGTAAATCATGTTTATTTCTTCATTAAAATAAGCTTTCTAAAAGTCTTCCAATGAATATTTTGTTAGCTTAGGTTGAGCTCTTATATATAATTAAAATGAATGACTGCTCCATCAAGAACAGTTTATATTTCACACTTTTCCCTAATTTCTCTGTTTTTCTCAGTACGAGCAGGGGAGGTTGGCTCATGTGATTTAGGGAAACCAGCACATCTTGGATTGAAGGTGCTTACTTACAGTTGTTTGGAGAGTTCTAGTGGTGAAAATGCCCATAAAACATAGTATGTATGCACATATATTTTCCCAATACAACCCTCGTCAATGAGTATATGTAAAAACGTTATCTAGTTTCTATAGGAAGGTACAGAATAAAAAGTACATATATATAAAATATAACTTTACTCTACTGGTCTGCAGTATGATTTTTATACTTGGTGGAATCTCCCTTTACTCTGCCCAGGTCTGAAAGCTGTTCCAAACCCTTCTCCTGGAGAGAAGGCCACATAGCAGCTCTGAGAATGGGGCACGTGGTGCTGCCAGGAACTCTGGGTGGGGCTGAAGGTCCTTTCGTACCCTGAGCACATTTGTGAGTTGAGGGTGCATGGAACGTCACTGGCAGGGGAGCTCAGAACTTCAACATGGGTGCCATGCTCCCCGTTCTGGCCGTCTGCCCCTCGCACACAAGCGGAGTATTTACTCACTCGTTGGTCTCTGAGTCAAGCAGGTGCAGCTAAAGCATTTGCCTCGAAGTCCACCCCTGGGTCAAGGGGGTGTCCCACATGCCTCACTCCCAGCTGGGCTGGGAGCCCACGTGGACAAAAGCCACATGGTGCTGTGGCGACCAGCTGGGTCCGGGCTCGGGCCCAGGCTCAGCCTCAGCCCTGGCTGCAGTCCCCTGACCTTCTACTCTTCTTATTATGTGAGACAAGGAGAAGCATGCTTCCCGTCATACACACAGGGGCCAACAGTGAACCTGACATGGAGACTTATTTTTACCGGTTTTGTTTCTGATGGTGAGACAGCATCCTTGTAAAACTAAAGGACAATTCTAGTCATTCAGGGTAAAATTGTCCTTTAGTTTTGCTTGGGGAAAACATTTTATTTCCAACCAGGTTTGGGAAATTAAGGTTTTCATTGTGTTTTTCCCTCTGTAGCTCCCAGTAGAAAAGTGAAGGAAGGTGAGGGATGATTATTTGAGAGCTGAATCAAAGCAGGGCTGTGTGGAGAGGAGAGAATTATGACTTAGGGGGGCCTCAGTCCCTCGGGGCAAGATGGTGGAGAGAATGTTGAGAGCAGGGCACTGCCCAGTTCTCCAAGTGTGCTCCACAGAACACTGGTTACTCGGGTAAATTTTAAGGTCCAACTTTGAAAAGAAGGTTGTGTGGTTGGTTTAATTTAGGTCAGTGGGTCTCAAAATGTGGTCCCAGGGGCATCAGCACACCTGGGAAACGGTGGGACATGTTCATCCTGGGCCTCCCCCAGCTGGCTGTGTTTCAGGCAGTCCTGGGGGCGGTGCTAATGTACAGTCAAGTTTGAGAACCACTGATTTAGTGGAATGATGGTTTCAATAAAGTCACACAGGTTTCACTCCTGTATACTTATTCCAACTTCTACTATAGCAATGCTTACTGTGACTCTTAAAGAAGGAAATAAAATAGACAATTCTTTTTCCAAATGCCTTTGGCTGCGGAGGCCTATTTTCAGTGGCGCCATCCCTAGGGGATGCCGCTTCATGGGCTGCACAGCAGGTCAGGCATGCAGAGCGGCCTTCCTAGGGGCTGCCAGGAGCTAGAAACTGCTGAGTCCTGGCTCCCAGGGATGCTGAAGGAATGCTCAGCAGAGGCTGGAGATTAATTTTGAGCTCAGGTTCTCTGGGCTGTCATAAAACAACAAGATTAAAAAAGAAAGAAAGAAAGAAAGAAAGAAATGCTGACAGTCAATTGTGGAACCAACTCCCCCAGCACCGGTGAGACTTCCCCAAGTCTTGATCTCGGCAGGGTAGTAACCATAGTCTCCACAAGGTGGCGCTCCCGGCTGTAATTATTTTTAGTTTCATGAGTAAAACTGCAATATTGACAATGGCTGACAAATAGAATTGAAACTTAATGTTACACAGTCTACATAGATGGTTTCCTACATAATCATGCTTCGTGTTTGACCATGTTTAGGGCAGTTACGTTTTTCTGTTGTGGTTCCTCTGAGTCACCAAAACGTAATATATGGACAATGGAGGACAGGAATAGGAAGAATATTACAATTTCAGGGCACATTCTAAAGCACGCATGCTGTCTCTCTGTCAGTGATCTTCATTCCTTTCAGTGCAAGGAAAAATATGTAATGATTAATTTATGAGCAATCAATCAGATTAGAGATAGTTGACTGGTTTAGATGGAGACCCGAGAGAGTTTTTTTCATAGACACGCATTTAACCCTGGCAGCTAAAAACAGGATCAGGAAACTAAAATTTTCCTGGGAAGTCACAATTGGATGTTTCTTCTTTTCCAGAATGGATTAGGTTGAGCTGTTTCTTTATATTCTGATTTTGGTGTGGTTTATGAAATAAAAACACAGGATGCCCAACCAGATGAACACCACATACTTTTTAGAATAAGTATGTCCCATGCAATGTTTAGGATATGCTTATAGTAAAAAATGTTCCTTGTTTATTGAAAACTCAAGTTTAACTGGGCATCCTGTATTTTGTCTGCAACTCTACTTTGGAATAACACCCCACTTTCCAGTTCTCTTGTTTTTCCTCCCCTACTCACATTTCTGAGGAGACCCGGAGACACGGGTCATGGGTGAAGTGGGATTGGTAGGTCTCCCATTTGCCCACAGGTGGGGTTCCTGCCCCACATTCTCAGCACTTCTGAGGGAAGGCTGGGAAGGGCAGTGGTTTCTGTCTTGGTTATACATTAGAATCACCTGGGGAATTTCAATCTCTGCCTGCTTCAGACACCCCCATTCAGTGACTCTGTGTGGGACCCGGATACACGGCACTTTACACTGTCCTAGGTAACTCTAATGTACACCCAGGCTGACACCAGGGCTTCCTAGGTTGTCCTGTGCTTATGAGCCACCTGGGGACCTTGCTCAGTAGCAGAAGCTGACTCAGAAGCTCTGGGGCCTAGAAGCTAAATTTTCAACAATCTCCCAGGTGATTCTGATGGTCTACATGGACCACACCTTGAGTAGCAAGATTTCAGAGCATGTAAAACTAATTATTGTAGAACTTGTGTTTCTCAAATGCTCCAGAAACTTCACCTGATAAATTATCCCCATTTGTATTTCAATTTTTCTTAAACAAATATCATTTTCCCTAAGTTCACAAAAGTGAATCTCATGGTGGCTAACTGCAAGGTGTCTGAGATACACACTCAGCGGCTTCTTACTGCTTTCAGCTTCCTGGTTAGGCATCCTTCTAATGACCTGGATGGTTCACAGGCTCCCGCCTCGAGGACGAATTCACCAGGGGTGAAGCAAGGCTCTGTGCCCTCCACTCACCTATGCACACTTCACTTTTGATTTATTTTCTTAATCTTCAGACACTTTGCAAAATGGTTTGAGGAAATGGGAAAGCACATTTGTTTCTTTAGCACCACCACCACAGAGGGAGGGAGTGGAGGAAGAGAGAAGAGAAAGAAGGAACAAAGAGAAAAACCTCATCCCCTAGGTATCTGGTAGCCTTACCGGGGACTTCTTAATGTCGGAGACCGCGTAGTTCCCTTGTGATATCCACCTGGCAGAATCAGTTAAAGAAAGGCCGGTTCCATAAAGATTGATGCTAAAACGGCCCTGGAATTAAGTACCCAATAAAAAAAGAATTTTAGTTCACATGACGTCCAAAGCAAAGGCCACACAATTACAAGGTAACTTGGAAAGGAGAAGGATAATAAATAATTACGATATTACTAATTATTAGTGTTTTTGTTGGGGGTGGGAGGGTAGGTCTGGGCCAGGAACTTGACAATCATCATCTCATCCACCTTCACAAGAGCTCTGTGAAGGGGGGTTTCGTTACAGATGGGGAAACTGAGGCCCAGAAGAGGTGATTAACTTCTCCAGGATACAGTGAGAGTCCAACTCACATTTTTCTGTCTTCCAAGTCCTCTCAACCACCGCCATTCTTCCTGCCTAACACAGCAATCCTGATGCTGCTCATTATTATCAGATTCCTTCAGGAACAAAATGCTACAGTGTAATTTTTCTAACAAGATCTCAATGCCAAAGCTTCCTAGGCTTCAGCTCCCCGCGGCGCTGAGCACTCGACGTACTAAGCACAGCAGGGCAGGACTTCAAAGCAGAGGCGCGGTCTCCGGGACGGCCATCAGGGGGCGCGCGTGGCCTGCTCCAGACCACCTGGGACCCGGGCCGCCTCCTGTCGGCCAAGGGAACACACATCTCCCGGGCCGCTCCAGGGTTCCTTTCGAAACGTGGCCTGGGTGTTTTGATATGTATTTCTAAGGAGACGGTGCAGCAGAGATTCTCTTTTGGCCATCTGTCCCCGTTCTCTCACTCTCTCTTTCAAAAATGATTCTACCAAGCCAGCTGAAATAGTTTATTTTCTTCTTCAGGTTTCCTACTCCACAATAAGCAGTTTCGGAGTTAAAATTGTTCCGCACCAAAAAGAAAAAAAAAAAAAGAAAAAAAAATGTTCCGCACCAACACACTTGGGGTGAATGCTTCCTCTCTGAACCTTACAATCCAGTGCTTTGTCAAAACCATCTATAATAAAGCAAGGAGGGGGGGGGGGTCTGGGTTGTAGATTCACAGCCAGTCAGCATAAGGTTTATGCAAATTAAGCTCTTTCACCCGCCATGAGACCCTGGACAGTTTCTAGCCTCTCAGAACCTCAGTTTGTCCATCTGTAAAGTGGGAGGTAATAACTGCCCTATTTTATAGGGGGAGGTAAGCTAGCTAAAGCAGAGCTGGAGGATTGTGATTGGTTAGGCTCCCTTGAAAGGTGTTTCCCTAAGTTCAGGCTGAATTAGGTTTAGATTTGTGACAAGGGAAAGGCCATGGGGTCAGCCTTCATTTTGTGGGTCCTGATATACAAATGAACTTTTTCAGACCTGCAAATAAGAGGGATTAGATAGATGGTATAATGTAACTAACTCATTACCTGGTGGAGAATAGGTGAAAAACATTTAAAAAATGTTTTTTGGAACTTATTTTATGACAGCACTATAGAGATGTTAATGGTTGTTAAGATGAACGGCTGCTAGTGGCCATGCTGAGGCTCAAAGCCCTCTTTGCCTGGCCTCCTCAGACACTGGCTTCTGCTTTGTATTATCCCACCTGGCCATTTTCTTATCTCACCATCATTTCTTCCCTGAGGAGGGCTCCACCCCTGTTCATAATGCCCATGCCACACTGCCCTTCTCACTTCTCCCTCTCATCCTGTGTCCTATGCTGGCTGCCTGTCCCCACCTGCATGGCAGAAGGTAGACTTGATCTGCTTCAATGTCAAAGTTCTTAGAAGGTCCAGGCTGCTGACCTGGCTACCAGCCCGAGAGCATCCGCCAGTATCTGAGCACACTCCTTTCCTTCGGTTAGCTGGATCTACCCTCTGAAAGTGGATGATAAACCCAACTGGAACAGATGTTCCTCCTCATTCTCTTTCCTCCTTTTCTGGTTTGGGGATCTGCATTTTAAGCAAGCATCTGAGCTGATAATTAGCACTCTAATGGTTGAGTGCTACCGGAGGAGTAAAGACCTAATGGCCTTTTAGCTTTGGTCTGGGACATCTTTGCCCCTAAAAGCCTTGTCTTCAATGTCTAAAGGGCATGAGAGTTTTAGCTTACCTTCTGTTGCAGGTTTAAAAGAGAAAAAGTAATTAAGAGTCATGCACACACTAGATGACTCAGAAATGTTTATGAAAGATGTGCCTTAAACAAAGAGAGAGTTTGTTCTCTGCTCGGACAAGAGTGAACACTGCAGAAATCTTGCCTGGAAACAGGACCAGCCAGACAAGCCTGTCGTCATGGATTTGGATTCAGACACACCTGCGATAAAGGCGGCCTCCAATGGCCACTGGTTATGTAGGTCAGGCAAGTTACCCAACCTCTCTACACCTCAGCGTCCTCATCTGTAAAAAGGGGGCATCCTCATAGGATGCGTGAGGATGAAATGCTACGCTAAAGCCTAGTAGACACTCAACAAATACTACTAATACCAGCACCAATAATCATTATGCTGCATCGACTGTGATCAGGATTAAAAAAGAGATATTCTGGTTACATCTTCACTTAAGGCTCTTGGGGAACCCACCCTTCCTGATAAAGAAATCTGCAAAGAAGCATCAATGGATGAGGAGGAAGAAGCAAGAAGCAGACTGTCGCACGGGGCATCCTCTGCTTTGACTTCTGTGCCATCACTAGGTCAGAGGATGAGCCATCTGCCCCAAAGCAGCTCACACAATCCTGCTCTCCACAGACCTTTGCTGGAAAACTGATCTGAAAAACTCAAGTCTTTCATCAATGTAGCTGGTGCTCATTAAACGTCTAAGAAATAGAATTCTTTAAGTATCCAATATGGTTTGCAGAATGAGCTGGAAAACATATTAGAAATTAGCCTCTCACTGGGTTTGGGTTTTCTCACTTAGCAATCGCTTCAGTGTCAGGATTTAGCAAGTCAATCAGTTCATCTGTCTCCAAATTATTAAAATAAATGAATGCAAATTAACTTTTATTTACTTAAGCTTCCCAAAACATGCACATCAGAGACAAGAAAATCCTGAGACATTTGGGAAAGGCAGGACAGCGCTGGCTAATCTATCAGCTGTTAAAATGCAACCTGTACTAATGGGATGTTTGATGTCATCAACTGCTCTAAAGAAGCTGCACTTCAAAAGTTTTCAATTCCTGGGTAATGGAGGGAAGGCCCCTGGTACCATTATGTCCTTTGTTTATTTTCTTTCTGCCCTGAGAGCTTCCTTTTCACTTCTCTAAAATGTTTAGTGATGCTTTCTAAAGCTTGGGGCTGAGAAAACACTTCCAGAAAGGAAAATTCAGATGTGTTTGTCTTTGGATGGTCCCTGTGGTTGGGTGTAAATCCGTCCTGGGATTCTGAACACATCACTCAGTCCCAATGCTCAGACTTTTGCAGGGGCACAGGCCAAGTGGGAAATTCCTGGTACAGAGTTTAACAAGAGGTTTGTGAAAATCTCATGAGAACCAAAGTAAAAACTGGGGCCAAATTCTCCTATCCTGAATCACCTAATGCGTTATGTTTGTCTTTCCTTCTCACTGCAAAAGCTTCTTGCAAAGACTGCTTTACCAGGTTAGCCCAGACTGTTTACTACAGCATGGTGCGGAAGGCAAGTTGAAACTTGCCACACATCTAACGAGGCAAGAAAGTGTGAAATTGCAGAATGGGCAGTGAGGCTGCACTGCTGAAAAGCGAATCCAGCAGAAGATGATAAACTTGCAGTTCTTGGTCTGAATGCTACACATCTTAGACATATAAAGCAGGAATAACAGTTTTCCTGTGTCATGTAATAGGGTTTTTAATGGCTCATGGTGGTGTGCTGCAGCCCACTTGCACTGGCTTTTGAGGGCTGACTGTGTCTCTCTCCCCAGCTCTCCATTTAGTGATGGAATGTCGATGGCTTGAAATCAGTCATGGCAGTGGGAGTGGGATATTTAAACCACGGAAATCGGACATCGGCAAATGCTTTTACAAAGCAGGACTTTCTTTTTTTTTTTCTTTTCCTTGGAAAGCCAGTCATTCACCATTTACCAGCACGTCACTGACTGCATAGTATCCATTTTATTAACCATCATCATTTGCTTAACCAAGCCCTTGCTATTCAATATCTAATTTGTTTCTAAATTTTTACCATCCTAATAGATGCATTTTGCTGTATGTGAAGTCTGGCATGTAGCTGTGATTATTTCCTTAGGAAACACTCCGAAGAGTGGAATTACTAGATTAGAAGCTGTGAGCATCTGTGGGGCTCTGGGTGCAGAACTGCATTCCAGAGCAGCCGCTCGATCTAATTACATTCCCAGGAACAGATATAGCCCAGGGACCCCGAGGACAGGCTGGGATTTGGATCCCTAGGAAGGGGGATGGCTCCCAGCACATACCTGTGGGCACTTGGTGGCACTGTAGCAGTCCCCAGCAGTGGCAAAAGGGACAGGGTGTCCTTCGCTTGTCCTTGCAAACTGTAAGTCAGTGGCTGTGGGGTTTTGGAGAAAGGGTTAAAGGGAGAGGAGAGGTGAGAGTGGGAGAAAAAGGTAGGGAAGGGTACAGGATATTAACAAGGAGAGAGAAGGGAAGAAGAATAATAAAGGAAATAATAAGAGGGAGTGGAGAGAGGAAAGAAAAATCCAAAGTATGATTAGTAAGCAAATGGATCCAGATGTGAGCTGGCTCTCCCCTCGTTATGTCTGCGGTTCCGAGGGCCTCGGTCCCTGGGTTTTACTAGCCCTGACTGTCTCCTCACAGTATGGAAGCCAAAAAGGGGGTTCAAGAAGACTTTGGAACGGATTCCTTTATAAATAAATACATGAACCACCTCGCGTAAGCGGTGTAACTGGATGACGGTGAACTGCCTGTGTATGGCCTCCGAGGTTTTAGGACCAGGGAAATAAGTCAGAAAAGCGTTTCCAGCTACTCAGGAATTATTCCCTGAGGCTTCATCTGTCCTCCCGTGGCCTAGGCGCTATTATTGCCAAAAGGTGGAGTAATTAGAACCCACATCTTGAAAGTATTAATGGCAGCTTCTCAAGTTTGGGGCTCACTTATAGTTTAAAAAAATAAATAAAAACAATGCTCTTGTTTTCAACCCTCTTGTAGCACCTGAGACCAGCGCTGCAAACGGGGAAGGTGGAAGAGGAGGAAAGCTGAGAACAGGAGGCTCAAATCTCCGCACAGCACAGCACACGTTGGTGGGAGGGATATGTGAGCCCCCAGTCCTGCAGGGAAAGGGGCCCGCGCAGCCCCGGCAGGCAGAAGCCTTGGGTCTTAGCTGGGCAGGGGCAGCGGGAGGTTTCTCTGCAAGAAACTGTGGACCCTCTGTGCTTAGCCCTCATTGGTCGAGCTGAAAGCAATTAAAAATATCTTGGTGCAAATCGAGTTTAATCTACCTCAAGAGGAAGCAATGTAATATTATGGATACAACATTAATGAGGAAAAATTAATTATTCATTATTTCTGTTTTTCCTCTATTCAGGGGAACATGTTTGGATATTTGAGCTGTCTTTACCACTCCTATGATTAATGTCCAGAACAAAAATGCAGTGTTGGCCAGAGAATAATATCAGCCTACGCACAGGCTAGTTTTAAAAAGGTAATTCTGTGCTCCATTTTTCTTGACTAAATCAATAATCAGATAAAATTAGTTTTACACCTGTGTGTGTATATAGTGTGCTGGTGGGAGTGGGTGAGGGGCGGTTGCTGCCACAAGAATCTCTTAGTTTTGGGGTTTGTACCTGCTATTTTTTCCCCCTTAATAACTTCTGCTGCCACCCTTGCTATGCCCACATAGATGCCCTGTGCCTGCCTAACTGCTTCTTGACCTCAAGGTCTTATATTTTGGGGAGGCTGCTCTGATTCTCCCGGTGCAATGGTGTCCCTTAAATATGCTTCCATTTACTCCATTCGTTCATTCATCACAAGTGTGATGGAGTGCTGCCCTGTGCCAGGTACTTTCCAGGCCCTGGGGGTACAGCAGTGAACTAAAAGGAGCAGCTCCCCTCAGGCAGCCCAGATGCAACTGGTCTCATTCCTCTCCGCATCCCCAGGACCTCACCCCTAGCTACCACACCGCATGTGTCTGCTGACTGAGCGGAGAAACTAACGAATCCATTCCCACAGGGCATCCCACTAAACTTACTTATTATCTGCATGGTGGTCAGGTCTATTCTGATTTTCTGGAAGCTGGAAAACCCAGCTGCTGTGTAGTCCTTCCGACACTGGCAGTCATCACGTCGGCTCCCGTTGTAGGGACATTCTGTTGGGTTGTGCAACCTACATTACAGAGAGAACATTCTGGTAAGTCTGGGAAAGTATTTCTAGGGATCTCTACCCATCTGGGCTCTTCTGAGCCTGAGCTCTCCTACCTGTACCCATACACCTCGGAGAAATTCTCAGAGTCACCATGGGCCAGTGTCACGAACTCCTTGGGGTGGTCAGACTGCATCCCCGCACAGAATATCTGAAAGGCAGACCGGAAGTAACACATGGAGGGAGGGTGGCTCAGAAATGGGATGACAAGAGCCAAGGTCACTCACTCCAAAAACATTTTCGAAATAAGGACTGATATCTGACGTTCACCTTCAGGGGCTTTCCTTTGATGATCAGGAAATATTCACCATCTTCATTGGCACCGTTTAGTTTCTTTACCTCCTTGCAATTCTGGGGTAACTCACCTAGAAAATATGAAATGCAAAAATGAGGTGTGATGCTCCAAGTGGTGTCATATCTCCTTATGAAGGGGATTAAACTGTTCATACTAAAGATCTTCAGCAAAGGAGACAATTTCTTTAAAATAAATTCTTTATCTCTAAAATGGGCAGGCAAACAAAGGCACAGAGAAACCCTGTTTTTCATGCTCCTGAAAGATGGCTTCACTTGGCACACTTACAATTATAGGTGTTATGGCACGTTTTTCTTTCTTCTGGCTTCAAATCAGCGGGACATAAATGGCTCGGCTGGTCCTCATTGGTTAAACATTGCACAGATCTGTGCATCACGCCAACGCCACAGGACACTGAGCACTACATATAAGGAGAGCACAGTCAGTGAGGTGGCCACCGAACTTGGGAGGCATGGGCTTCCAGTGGTGTGGCACCTAGGGCCTGACGGCATGTACGGGGTGTCGTTTCAGACCCTATGCTGCTGAAACAAATAGCTGGCACACTGAGCACGTACAGTGAGCACGTACTGTGGACCAGTGTCTGTGCTAAGCTTTACATATACACATTTATACCTACCCATATACACACATACTTACATATGTATTCATATATACACACACACACACACACACACACACAGAGGGTACCAAAAATGTATACACATTTTAAGAAAGGAAAACTGTATTAAAATTATAATAATATACACTGATAACAAAAGATAAATACAAGTCACATTTGACTTCTGCAATTACAAGAGGTGCTCAAAGTGGTTGCCATCTGTGTCCAGACACTTCTGGTTACGGTGAACTACTGCTTGAGCAATGTTGACTGAAGTGTCCACTTGTATACATTTTTTTTGGCACTGCCGGTATATATAATTTTCTCATTTAAGCTTCACAATAACCCTATAAGACAGTATTTCCATTATTCTGTTTCCACAGAGGGGAGATTAGGGCGCAAATGTTAAAAAATTTGTTCAAGGTCATGGTGGAGCCAGGATTCAAACCTTAACCACTTTCAACTGGTCCTACACTTTTGACCTGATCACTTTGCAACACTGACCAGTCAGGACTAGAGGACTGTGGCAATTTTCCAGGGCAGTTCCAGTTTAAAATATTCTCACTCACACCCCAAATGCAACAAAGAATTCCCAATGTCGAAGGACTAGAACACACAGACTTCTTAGCAACAGAAGCAACAACTAACAGTTCTGTAACTCTTATTAAGTGACAAAGTTCCAGGTGCCTTTTAATTTTTAAATTGTGGCAAAATACATGTAACTTAAAATGTGCCATATACCCTGAGTGCTTTTTCTGTATTAACTCATTTGGTCTTCACCACCACCCATTTTGCAGATGAGGATATAGACACAGAAGTTTTGTGCCATGCCCAAGGGCAGAGGCAGAACCAGGAATCAGAGGGAGGCTGCCTGGCTACAGAGCCCAAGTGCTTAGCACCGGGTCAGCCATATTGCCAAACAAGAAGAAAAACCTTTTCCCATCAGCCCATTTCAAGATGCTAACTGCTGATTTTTACCAGGCTCTTCTAGAAGAAGAATGACTTAGACAAGTCAGGCAGGACATGTTTTAGATGGGGTTTCAGATCTGAAAGGTTTCCGATTTGATAACTCAGTCATCTACTTACACTACCCCAGTTGCCCATTCTCCAGGCAGCCGAGACCGGGCACTCCCTCAGGTAGCAGGGGTGGACGCTGGGGGGTTGTGTGCCCGGGCAGTTGATGATGGTTTGGTAGCTGTACTCGTAATTCTCCTTCCCGGTATAAATCTCGCTACAGGAGACAAGTCTTTGTTTGTAGCCCTTTCCACAGGTCACTGAGCACTGAGGAGAGAGGGGTTGAGAGGAGAGGCTGAACAGTGTCCAGGGGCAGCCGACAACAGACTCCTGACCTCTACCTCGTGTGCTGATCCTGCAGAAAGCTCTCCCTTCATGAGCTTAGCTATGCATTTTGAGCAGCCCCCAGCACACAGGAGACATAAAATCCTGGACGACGTCTTCCAGATTCTGGATCTAGTGCTCTCACTGCCTCCCCACGATGCCCCCATGGGTGTGGGAGCCAGTGGCCCCTTCTCTGGATTTCAAGGGGAGACGCAGGGAGCAGCAGCTCTAGCTGTCATTGGTTCGTTTACAGCCTTGACAGCCCACACACTGGCTGTCCAAACCTACAGTGATCACATCAGAGAAGTGACCGAGTGGGATGGAGGCAGAGCCAGAGCCCATCTGAGCTGAGTGTGAAATCCAAGCACTTAGCCAAAAGGGGACTTTGGGACACTTGTCCTTTCCTACGCAACGTGGTGTGCTTGCCTATCTGACCATCTAATTTATTTCTCTCTTCTCCCTCCCAGGCTAGTATATATCTTGACTGAAATGTTACCTTTCTGCTCCTCTCTCTCTCTCTCTCTCTAAATGATGCAGTCATTTAACCATTTTGTCATAATTAGAATGTGTTTAAAAACACCCAGACAATACAGAAAAGGAGAAGGAAAAAAATGTCTTACTAAAGTTCCCTTCTGTGATGGGACATCTAATTATTTATTTTATAATCTGTTCACCCTCCCCAGCTAAGTATTTTATATAATAAATTATTTTAAAAGAAATATGGATTACAATGAATTTAGTTTTGATGATATTTTTAGTCAAAGACTTCAAATAACTGGCCATACCCTGTGAAAGTGCTACATAAAATTCAGCCAGAGTATCAGGGTTCTGGCGATGAAAGAGTCTTTGAGGAGGGCCAGGTGAAGCCCCAGAAAGAGTATGTAGCATGTGGTGTGTTATGCTTTTTCTGGGGTGAGGGACCAAAGCTTCTATCAGTTCTTACTCTCTCTCACAAGCCACAGTGTCACTCTCTCCTAATGTCTCTTGAGCTGTTCCTTTAAGCCACGTGGCTTTCCTTTCCTGTAACTTTTCCAAGGAGAAGGCTCTTGTTGAAGAGTCTGGGAGGCAGGAGGGAACAGGCCCAGCCCGAGGCACGCAGAGCATTCCCGGTCCTTCCCTTCCAGTTGGCTCAAGACCTGGATATGCTCTGTGTATGTTTCTTCCTTCTTTGGCTGCCACTGTTTAAATGCCCGAAGACCCAGTTGGCGCCAGACCATGGGAGTTCTAGGCCAGTCTGGGGTGTTTCATGTGTGGACAGAAACCTAACAAATGCTCCGTCCAAGCTGTGGGTATTTCAGAGTGTCTACCCCAGTGCTTGCGTGCGCTGACCTCAGTTTGTACGAATTTAAAAATGAATGTACGTCTGAGCAGGCAATCCTGAGAACTTTACCCCTGCAAAGCAGATGCAAAAGCAGCTGTGGCCCTTTATGTGGGGTGCAGTAGGAGACAGGCATTGGCTGAGGGAGTGGAGCCCCAAGTATGGTCAGGGTTTATTAAGAGGCCTCTGTATCTCTGAAAAGAATCTGGAAAGAACATTTTCTTAAGTAGCTGTTCAGAGCATCATTAAAATGTTGACTGCCTCTGGCTTCCTTAATCCGTTTCAGATCAGAGTTTTGAAGTGTAGGAGGCTCATCTGCGAAGAGGGGAGAATGGGGTGAGGTGGGGAATGTTTACTGTTGATTCTCTTTGCCTTGGGGTCATGTGCTTTTTACATCATGAATGTGGATTAGTTTTCCAATTTGAAAATAACAGCAAAGTAAAATGGAACAATAAGAATGTGGGCTCCCTGTATCAGTGATACACTTCAGGCCAGGGAAGTGCATCAGCCAGGAGCAGCGCAACTCCACCTTTCTGATCTGGCCGGGCCGCCTCGGATTCAGGTGGGGCAGAGCGCAGAGAAGAGCACCAAGAACTCCCCAGGTAACAGGGTTCTCAGAGAGAAGGCATGTCTTGCTGTGGCTCTTGCATTTCACTAGAAGCTTTTCTAAAGGAAATCCTGATCCCATCCCTTTGGCATTACTCCCCTTACAAGGTTCCTTCCCCATGGTCCTTGCATCTTTGCGAAGTCCTATCTCCAACCCGCTAAACTTTACCTGTAAATTTGCAGATTTCTTCAATCTATGACACATCTAAGTATTTGTGGCAGTATGGAAGGCTTTAAAAAAATCTTCTCCCTATCTCATCTTTTAGGGGTTAAGTTTAAGGATTTATTAAATCTATAGGAGTAACATGACTCAAGTCTTAGAAAGACACCAAAGCTCTCTTAGCAGAATAATAGCAACACACCAGAACTGCCCAAGAGGATGGAGCTGTCCTGTGCATGATAGGAGGTTCACAGCATCCCTGGCCTCTACCCACTAGATGCCAGGAGCATTCGACTTCCCCGAGTTGTGACAACCAACAATGTCTCCAGACATTGCCAAATGTCCCCTGGGAAGGAGGGGAGACAAAATCACTGCAGTAGAGAGAACGATGGAGAGACACAGTCAGAAAAGACTTCAGGGCCACCTTTAGTGCAGAAACAATTTAACACTCAACGCACATATCATCTAAATGCAAATACCCATCCACTAAATGTGAAACTGCTGCCCTGTCAAACTTGAAGAGACTCCAGTGCCAGCAAGCACCTTTGCTATAAGCCCAGACACTTCCCTCTCAGATCTCCAAATTCTTCTGGGAAAATGGTAACTGGTTTTGACAGTATAGATCTTTCAGTATTTGAAAATATGAGATCTGAAAATAATATAATCATGCTATTATTATTGGTTGATTATTAATAAAAAGTGTCCAGATAGGAGCTATATTCAGGAGGTGATAAGAAAAAGTAGATACTTGAGATTCCTTGGATTTTATGGAAAATTATGTTGTTCCTCTGGATCAGAGGTTGTTAAATGGGCAACCAACACCTGGCCCATGAATGTGTTTGGTTTGCTCCATACAATATTTTAAACAAATAATTTGAGCCCACATTTTAAAATGACGAGATCTCACATAAAAATCCATATTTTTGTCCTCTCTTGAAAAATCAGGTTTGGTACAACTGGGTCCGCATTTCTGCATGGCCTCTGTCAGAGTGGAAGAGAGCCTGTTCCTTTTACACATCGTGTGCTAGTTTGCCAGTCTCCACCTTTCCCTACGATCTCCCTGACACTAAGACATTTTCGTATCCTTAACTTTTTTTAGGCACTGACAGGCATCTTATGAATTTGCAGCCCCTGTAACAATTTCTTCCTAATCATATCAATGGGACCCCTCAAGGCAAATCCCAGAAGGAAGAGTTGAGGGGAGCTCAGAGACTACCTCATGCACAACCCCCCCCCCCCCCACCGACACACTCTGCACAGGTGGGACTCTGGCCCAGGAAGCTTGAGGGACTCGTCTGGGAATTCACAGTTCTCAGTGGCAGAACTAGCCGGTGGGTCTGAGTCTCCCACCTTCCTGTATTCATCACTCTGTTTCCCTCAGACCACTGTTGACCTGAAGGCAGTATTGGAATCCCAGGACGTACCTCCGACCATTCTCCTGTGATCCAGATGTACTCGCACGGCTGCAAACTACAGCTCTCGCTGTCTGCAGGCCGCGTGCTCATGTCGCAGTGCATGCTGTGAACCTCGTCTCCTCTGTCCTCATCCACGCATACCACCTTGCGGTACCTGGAGCCTTCCCCACAAGTCTTGGTGCACTGGTAAAGACAGACAAAGCAGGTGTGGATACAGGAGAATGATAGGGCAATAACATCCTGTTATTATCATTTATATAATATATGTGTCTATTATATATACACATGTAGTAATATCACATTACTGTAATTATTTGTTTTCCTGTCTATATACCCTCTAAGACTGTGAGACCTCTGAGGACAGGGATTATCAGAGAACTCATTATTTTATCCTGATTACCTACAACACTGTTCCTGGCATAGTGATAAGCATTCAATAAGAGGCTGTCTGAATGCAGGAATGGGATTGTGAATGGTGAATTTCATGTTTGCAAGGGACCTGAAGGTCTGTTCACTTCAAGTACCCACTCAAACACTGAATCTTTTAAAAATTATAGCCTAATGGTTTTCAAACTGGTGACTAAATACCTCTAGAGTCAGGGAAGTCATGACCTGTCCAAGTGACTCATTTCATCTTATAACACAGAACTAAATATCTCTCTGCAGGTTCCAGTCTCTTGTCCTAACTGTCGATTCCAGGGGAGCACAAAGGACAAGTTTCATTTCTCACAAATGATCCCCCTTCGGGGACTTGAGGAGAGATTTCCTGAGACCCCCTACAGCCTTTTCTTCTCCAGGGTGAACTGCTCTCATCCCGTGGTCATTCAGCAAATATTCACCATGATCCTAATAAGGGTCAGGCCCTGTGACATGTCCTGGGTGAACAAGATCGGACACGAATGTCACAGCCTTTGCTCTCAGAGGAGCTCGTATTTTTGTAGCAAAGACAGACATTAACGATATAGATAGCTAGGTAGGGACATTTAGCAGTTGCTATAATGTCTATTTTTCAGATGAGGAAACTTGGACTTAGGAGAGCCTAAGTAACTTCTCCCAGGTCATACATCTCTCTGTGAAGTAGAAGGGGCAGATATTTTTATTCCCATGAGCCAAGTAAAGAAAATAGAGCAGCTGGTATGTTTCATTCTAGAATGATTTCTATGCTGTCCATTTGACCTTGGGAGCCAGTTTAACTCAGAAATTGTTTCCTTATATGCCCGTCCTTCCTTCCTTCCTTCCTTCCTCCCTTCCTTTTGTTTTTGGCAATAAAATACACATAACATAAAATTAACCATTTTATCAATTTTAAAGTGTACAATTCAATGGCATTTAGTCATTCACAATGTTGTGCAATCATTACCATGATCTCTTCAGAGCATTTTCATCACCCCAAAAGGAAACTCTGTACCCATTAAGCAGTCACTCCCCATTCCTCCACCCTCCGCCTGTGGCAACCACCAATCTGCTTTCTGTCTCTATGAGTTTGCCTACTCTGGGTATTTCATATAAATGGAATTATTCAATATGTGTCCTTTGGTGACTGGCTTCTTTTACTTAGTAGTATGCTGTTTCCAGGTTCTCCCATGTTAAGCATGTTATCAGTATTTTATTCCTTTTTTTTGGCTGAATAATAATCCATTGTATGGATAACTATGTTTTGTTTATTCAAATGTTGACAGACATTTGGGTTGTTTCCATCTTTTGGCTATTGTGAATAGTGCTGTTGTGAATATTCATGTACAAGTTTTAACACCTGATTTCAATTCTCTGGGCTATATCCCAAAAGTGGAAATGCTGGGTCTTAGGGTATACTGTGCCTTTTGTGAGGTGCTCGGTTCTTCAGGAAGCAGGTGGATATACAGTATGTCCCCATAGCCTCTTGTCATTTGCAAACTTAACTCAAAATTTCTGCTGCCTGGAAGAAAACCTCAATATCTAGAGTGTGCATTCATAATTTTTCTGGGGTACAAATATGAATGGAAAGCACTGTGAGTAGCAAATCCTTCCAACCAGCGCAGGTGACTGGCTGAGGCCGGCTCCTGGCTCAATCCTGGCTCAGTGGTTTTGGGGGTTTCTGTGTCCCTGGAGGATGCTGGGAATGATTGCGAAGTAATAACATTTTTGTTTCCTCATTAAAAAAATGCCAAATGAGTTCGGGAGCCACTGGATGTTGCAAAACAAAACAAAACAATGGTTAATCTGTGATGTGTAGATTTATGCAGAAGAAATACTTAACTCCCCTCAGAAAAAGGAATTCCTTAGAAAATCAGGATTTAGGTGACTCAGAGAAGATCATGAGCCCTGAGCAGCCAACCTGGACTAAACCTTCAGTGTCCTCTCTTTTTCACTAATCCACAGGGCTTTAATCTGGGTCAATAAGTAACAGTTGAGAACAGAAACGCAAGGATTACTAAGTACTTTCTGCTTGGTAAGTGTTTCTCCCTTGAAGAATGTTTAACTACCATAAAAACTCTTCTGCCAATGGTGGAAAAGGGAGTTGGAAAACCTTACTTTGTGTTGACGTACAAAACATCCAAACCTGTAGAGCATCTTTATGAGTTTATTTGAGCCAAACTGACGACAATTGCCGGGAAGCAAATCTCAATGGATTGAGAAAATGCTCCGGAGAATGGAGTTTTGCAGCTTATTTTAAACACTAGAATCTAAGGAAGAGACGTCAGGAAGGTTACATGGAATCCACTGGTGGTAGACTAAAGGGGCGGGAGAAAGCAAAGCAGGGAAATCTCTGGCATTGAATATAAAGGCAAAATGGAGAGACATACTCCTTTTACATTGGTGAGTATGAGTTAATAATGAACATTTCCAGCACGTGGAGATGGTATGTGGGCAACAAGATAACAATGAGGGGTTCTGTGGTCTCCTGCTCTGGTGCTCTGGTGCATGGTTGTGCCCTCAGAGGTATGGAAAATGAGATTACTCTGACATTTGGAAGGTAGGTTATCTTAGATGCAAAAAGACAATAGACAGGCTCACCTGTCTTAAAGGTAAAGATTGACCTTTGTCAAGGAAGCTACAAGCCTATGACGTGACTGTGCTCCATGACCCACTTTTAGTTAGGGGATTTTATGTTCAGATCATCCTATGTGGTTACCTTCCGTGTCTGAGTTTGTACAGCTCGTCATGCTGGCCTCCCCTGAGCTTGTCAGGTTTAGCATGTGGCCCCCTTTTCATCCACAACTGAGTATAACTTTTAGAAAAATTAAAGTAAGTAAATAAGTGACCTGCCCACTGCTTTGGAATTAGTCAGCAGAAGCTCTGAAATCACATGAGCACGGCTTTTCTCCTGGAGTCCTAAATCCTACCTACAGCAGGGGGCTGGCTGCGTGATCAGAAAACAAACCCAGCCCCGTGCTATCGGGTTTTATCAGCCTTTGGTAATATCACTGCCCCACTGTGATTTATGACTCTTTCCTTTATCCTGAAAAAAGATCTAGAATGTCCTGAAAAACAGCTGGAAAGCTTAACCAGCCTCATTTTAATTCCAAAAGGTTTTCTCAAATTTCATTACAACTTTTCGGAAAAACTATACCTAGTGTATAAGTCATGCCACCGGCTTCCTTGCATTCCAGCACACGCTGTAATTCAGAAAGGAAATAATCACAGCACTGGGCTAACGTGGGTAGTGTGCCCATTGTCTCACAGGCTACATGTGCCTTTAAATGTGCTGAAATTAATAGGGGAAACAACTTCCCAAATTTGAGGGTGAGGAATACCTAAAATAAACTTTTAGGGTACTATTTTATTTACCCAGGTTGGTTGGCCACAGAGTGACAGTCTAAAAAGAATCACTTGATACAACAAATAGAAATTGTCTTTCCTTAAAAATTGTAATCAAGGGCCGGCTGAGTGGCGCATTGGTTAAGAGCTGGCTTGGGACGCCAGAGGGTCCCGGTTCGGATCCCACATATGAGGGCCAGTGACACTGCCCTCTACAGCTAAGATGCTGAACAACAGCTCAACCTGGAGCTGGGCTGCTGTGAGTCGCCTGCGATGGCGTGGGCTGCAACCCCTGCTGCAGTGGGTTACCATGGGCTACCGCGTGTAGCCAGCAGCCACCATGAGCGGCCAGCAGCCGCAGTGAGCAGCTGTCCAGAAGCCAGCAACTGATCTGCCTCGCCCGGGAAGAGCGCAATGATGGTGCCAACTTGGGCCAATGAAGCAACATCCTCCACAACTAGACTGAAGAACAAAAGGACAACAACTTGTCTGTTCCCCTTCCCCCAATTCCCCAGTGCTGTTCCCATCCCCCAGTTCCCCAATAAAAAAATTTTAAAGAAAAAAAAATTGTAATCAAGTGCTATTTTGGTGAGATTCCCTAACCATGGGGGAAAAATCACTTCATATTCACATGCTCTACCTTGTTGAATTTCTCCATGCCTGAAACAATGTGTCAGGGCTGCCATCGTTCGATAGTGTGTGCAGACAAGCCACAGGACGAATGGAGAACTTGAAAGCACTGTGTTCTATGTGTGTTGTGCAAAGGTTTTTGTGCAGTGATCACAAATCAATTGATCTAACATTGCTTTACATTAAAAAAAAAAGCAGTCTTTAAGTTACCAATAGGTTCTAGTCTCAAAGCTCATTTTAAAGTCAGATAGGTGGAGTTCAGACACATTTTCCCCTAAATAGTATTGGGTTGTTGGAAAAGTCATGACATATTTTTTCTATGTTTTCTGTTGCAAAAATGCATCATGACTTTTCCGACAACCCAAAATATCTACAAGGGAAAAGGGCAGACACAATATATGGAGGCATTTCGTAACTTTAAAGTCAATCACACTTTCAACCAGTATTTTCAATGGGCCAAGTTCTGTACTAAGCGCTGGGTACAGCTCTGACATCTTCCTTCTCCCCTTCTCTCTCGGATATGACACCTAGGGTGGCGGCTTCTCCCAGCTTGGGGGCTATGTGTTAGACAGCCGGCTAACTGGTGACACTGGGGTTTAACATTTAGGGCCGCCTTGTATGGCTGTGTGAGCAGATGTGGGTTTCATCACAGAGAATGTGATGGAGGAAGGTACATCAGGATGTTCTGTAACTGTGCAGGAGAAGACGAGGGCAAGAGGTGGGAATTTCCACAATGCTAAAAGGGGCGCCCCGGTAGTGGTGGCTGAGGAGTGAAGGTGGAGATGAGTTAACTAGGCGAGGTGGAGATGGGGCAG